AAAAGCCTATCTCTTCTCATTCAAAAGTTATGACCAAGGTTAAAGTTTTTGTGACTGACAGACGAATGAGATTTAATGTCCCCTCGCTTTTGCAAAAGTGGGGGACAAAAAGGGAAGTTGATGATAGAAAAATTGTAGTTATCATGTTTATCATAAAGTTAGTTGTTAAGTTTGCCATCAATGTCTTTTTCTAGTAAAATATCCAAATTTGAAACAGATGGTCAGACTCTGTGGTGTCTTTTGTTTCTAGTTCAATGGGATATTCAATCAATGCAGGACTGAAAATTAATATTGTTAATTGATAAACTGTTGTGGATATATCTAAATGTCGAACTGAAGGCCACATCAAGAGCCTTTTTCTTTACATGTAGAAGTATTGGAATAAATTCTGCTTTATAAGAATGCAAAAACGGGTCTGCTGATAAAGGGCCACAAATTGTATCCATGGAAAGCCATTCCAACAAGTTTTTGGAAGACCTAGTCTTTAAAGATTACCTTTAGCTAAATATTGTCCACGAGAAACCGAAGCATTTTTCTAATATCAACTTCATAGTACTGAATTTTTTTTTTTTAAAAAATGCAGATGACTAATTACAAGGTATGTAAATTTACGTGTTTTATTTTTATTGAAGAAACAGCTGTCTTTGATATCAAAAAGCCTTGTCTTTAATACATAATTCTTTTTTTTTTTTGGGGGGGGGGGATTGTTGAATAAAGTGTTGAAAAGTCGTACGTTTTAATGCTATTGATTTTGGCAAAAGAAGATGGGCGAACAAGGAGAGCGAAATGCCTATGGTGCAACAAATATGAAAGTGAAAAATTAAATTTCAATTATAACAAAATTTTCCTTGATGTTTTATTTAACATTAAAGTATACTCTATGTAAAATCTCCACAACTTGCAAAACTCTCACAAAGATTGAAATTATTTGTCTACGAAATCACATATACACACCAAAGAAGACAAAAAGGATAATTTTCTCATATTATAACACAATTTTTCCATAAAAGTGGGTCTTCGCTCCATTTTTTTCTGAAAGTTTATTCTCAGAGTATGCGTAAAATATACATTTTTAGTAAACATCCACTATATCTTAAAAATACACAACATTCATATATTTCCGAGAAATACTTGTCCATTTAGTCACGGGGCATACCACAAACATAATTTAAATGCCATAAATTATCAGAAGTTGTGTAGCGTAGTGTTAGCGTGTTAGTCTCAACGAAAAATGATACTCAGGTTTAATATTATTTTTTTCTTGCTAGGGTTCGAACCCCACAATACCATTTTATTAATAATAGAATAATTATGGCCGAGAAAATTTTTTTCTGCAGAAAAGTTTTGTTGTCATAATTTCATAAATTTCAATAATAATAACTTTACTCTGAATACTAAATTCACAAATTGAATATGATTATGATATATCTGAAGCTATAAGCATTCTGCATGCCTTGGTCTCCAATTTTCTAAAGTTCCTTCGAGTTAGTAAGTATACAAATCTGATTGACACTACTTCTCGAAAAAGTTGTTGAGCAGTACTCCTGAAGTTTCTCTGTTAATATTTTAGTGAGGACACAGGTACTTTTGGACAGGACACCCCCCTCCTCCCCCCCCCCCCCCCGGTATTCAACCCCGGGCCTTGTTGGAAATTTTTTCGCAAATTATATTAATTGCACTATAGGAAATTATACATATTATACATATACAAATTATGTATAGTGGGGTATTTTTGTGTGGAACGATTATTTTGGGGTTTTCACGATTTTTTCCTATGGTACACATGATGAATAAGTGCAATAAATATAATTTGTGAAAAAAAATTCCAACAAGCCCCGGGGTTGAATATCGGGGGCGGGGGGGGGGGGGGGGGGTCCTGTCCACAATTACCTGTGAGTGAGGAGTAAAGAAAGAGGTTTGGTAGAACATTTACTGGAACCCGCTATGTATCTTTCTTTTAAAGGATTTTTATAAAGTTTTGGAAACCAGAATAGGCGTGGTAATTTAAATTCAATTTGGTCACTTGGAACATAAAACTAATTAAAACTGACTTATGGTTTTGAAAAAATTCAACCTTAGAAAGGGAACAAAGAGTATACTTTGGATTACCCCTGGTAGAATTAAATTCAAGTTCATGTAAAAGACAGCTGTAATAATGAGCCTTGCAAACAAAGGCTATGGGTCTAGAATTTGGTCCACATATTTATGACATTAAAGAGGGAAATTTACACAAAAATCTGCTGAGCCAAAGTGGCTCTGTTGAGCATTGTGGCCCATAGGCCCCTTGTTTTGAGATATGGGGTGCAATTAAGTAATAGGGGATAAATACTTTTAAATGTAAATAGGCAAAAACACAATCATATTTAGATACATGCAAGTTAACAAATGGTTAAAGAATTAATTGAATTTAACGAACACAACTCTATGTATTTAAAGCAGTACAACCTTGAGACATGACACTCTAATTGTTAAGATATATGATATATATTTTCCCTCGTGTTTTGATATTTCTTCATACCTTAACTTACACTGTTTTGTTGTTGCTACATGGTAGTACAGTATACATTTTAAAATATAGGACTACATTTTACAAGTACATTGAGCTTTATTAAATTTTCTCTTTGTCAAATCAACAGATTATCTGATTTTGTTACGTATGTTAATTAATGTAAAATTGTGATAAGGAGATAAACCTCGTTTATTTATTTGATTACGGTGGACTGGTGTAATTTTAACAAATGACGGTAATTTGGCGTATTCAATAATTATTACAGGTGTATACCTCGTCATAAATTCACCATAGATTATTTCTGTTGAAGTATTTTATTTTACTGCATATTTAAGTACTTCAAGTTTTCATCGTATAATTGTTATGTTGAAATATGATAAAAACTAAATAAAACTAAATAATAAAGATGATAAAGAGTTAATAGACTGCTGTGTGCGTATTGGAATCTTCGAACGGTGAAACTACTAGCTGTTAATGTCTTTTTTTCTTGCAAAAATATCATCCCTTATCTAATAGGTCATAGGATATATATATATATATATATATATATATATATATATATATATATATATATATATATATATATATATATATATATATTAGGGATGTCAACGAATAGTCGACTATTCGACTATCAGTCAAATGGACCGACGATCGAATAATGAAACGACATTCGAATATTATTTTAACTAAATAAATGCAATAAATGAGTGATAGATGAGATGGAATTCTCATCAAAAAATGAGAAACAGTCTTTTCTCATAGACAGTCGATAATCTTCCTCAACAAAAAACGGTAGATTTTCCATGTACGTATAGAAAGTACAGCAATTATAAATGCTTCACTACTGCGAGAATTAATTGTCAGTAACTGCCTGTGTTGTTTTTGTAATAAATTAACCAATATAATGGGCTTTGTTTGTAAAATCATTCATTGGACAAATATCTTTTGTTATTTTAAGTTTGCTCAAATGCAAGGAATAAACCTGTTTTGATACATCGATAATTATTAAAACAATGCGCTTACATTTTAAACTGTTTGAGGACATTTTGATAGCCTCCCCCCTCCATTTTATTTCATAATAAGCTTTAAAAAAATATCAGCTGGCAATTTTTTAATGCTTACTAAATAAAAAATGACCGCATGTACAGGCCGATTTACGAATTCTATTTATGGGGAAATAATAAATTTTGGAGAATTAGGTTTCTAAATTTATTTCATAGAATCATGCTATCCACGCGTTACGTTGCATTAATCTTGATGTTACTTTTTAAACAGATTTAAGTAAAAAGGTTTCTGAGTATGTACCAATGAAGTATGAAATAAAATTTTATTTTCAGAAAATGTTCCAAATATTCGACTATCGTTCGAATAATGCAATCGAATGATCGACTAAGGAAAATAAATATTTTGACATCCCTAATATATATATATATATATATATATATATATATATATATATATATATATATATATATATATATATATATATATATATATATATATATATGTTTGGGTATCAAAATACAGATTTATTTGACATCGTTTCAAGTTAACTCTATTCATACACACAAAAAGACTTAGAAGTTAGAAATGTTCTGCTTATGCTTGATCAGAAAATGAGATATATTTATTTAATTTCGATAATGATAATAATAATGATGATGATGTTGATGATGAGAATAATAAAAATAAAATACATGTAAAATAAAATTTAAAAAAATAATTAAACAACGAAACATGCTAGTGAAATCAGAGAATTGAAAATTTTCCAGAGCAGATGTCAAACAAGTTCATTGTGCATTGTCACCATTATCAGAATGAAGTCTGAACTATCAGTTAATTTAAAATTGTTTGTTTATTGATATAATTTTATATAAAAACTCAAATCATAGACGGGGAAGAGATACATCATAATCAATTCAACAAGTACTCAACAGTGATTTAATTATCTTGAAATAAATACAGGGCAGTGTGGGTAGCGACATGTTAAAAAATACAACCCCCCCCCCCCCCCAAAAAAAAAAAAAAAGAGAAAAGGTAATTTACACTCCACAAACTGACCAATAACCCACGATCTCAATCTGAAGAGCCATAATTACCTCCAAATGAGCTTAAATAAATATATAAAAACGCATACCTATTTACGTTTATGCAGATTATTAAAATAAATAATAATAAAATCAAATTTGCATCTACTTGTACTTTATTTATTTTTGACTAATCGATTACAAATTGTCTAACTGATTACGATCGTTCCGACTGAGTAAACGGTTACAAATTGCCATCCTTATTAAAATATGTATTGAATCAAACACAGTCATACAGTTATTATTATGTTTTTTATCACGAAACAGTAGTTTATCAAATTGTATCGAATGACTACATTGTTACATACTTGACCCTTTATCATATCGCCCTTGTTGTATAATAATTTCTTCTACCCGATGCTCAAGATAACAATTTTACAATCTATACTGTTGTTGGAAGGATGTTTATTTTAAGATCACATCCACTTTTTACCCTACCCTTTCTTTTAGTGAAGGTAAGTTAAAATTCATTCATTCAATTTCACTACTTTCTATTTTTGGTGCCTCATACACTTACACTAGGCACGAAAATTGTCAATTCAAACTCTATAGAGGCTAAATACAAATGCCTCTGTCTGATGTGGAGATCATTTTCATATTCAAGTACATGAATATATTTTTCTTTAAAGATTATATGAGTGACATGGACAGAATCTGTTGGAGAACAAGTTATAATCTCTTGTTTTTCTAATTTTGAATTGTGAGCTCGTTTAAAGTCTTTTGTAACATGACGTATATATATATACATATTTATGTCAAATGCATTCAGATACACATTATTCTGTTTCTTTCAGCTGTTCCCGCTTCATGCCATGTCTGAAGATAGCCCTTATACTGATGTATGCTCCGCATACTGCAATGCCAGCATGTTTAGTAACTGCAGCTGCATTGGGAACAACAAGATTCTGAAGTGTGAGGGAAAGTCTGTCGGAGTCTTTTTAGTCATGAATATTACCGATTCAAGTCTTAACAGCAGTTGTTCTATGACGTTCAATCAAACGTAAGTCAAGTTTTGAACACCACTTTGTTATCCGGATCTCTAGACTTTCGACTGATAAGTATGTGTATAATGCAACCCCTCTTTTGATGATTTATTTGACCACAGGTCTATGAATTGACGCATACTAGTAGATCTATCCATGTACAATAACAATTACCCCCTCCCCCCCCCCCCCCACACACACACAGTAGGATACAGAAACGCATCATCAGGGTTCTCGTAAGTCCAACACACACTGCAGTATTTTAAAAACTCTGTTTTACAATAAAAATTGCTTTTATATGTGTACATGTATTATGTGTCTTTTTTGCGGCATTGGTGTAGCTTACTAGTTTAAAATATGCATCTAAAAATTTTTAATGACAATTTTTTACAATAGCTTTATTGGTAAAGTATGGGGCCTATGGAATTCCATGTACTACATGCAGCCAACTGCTTACTGCCAACTGCCACTGCTCATAGATGATATTTCCTGATTTGTTATCTTTAATATCTTTAATACGCATGCTTGAATAAACCCTATGAAAGCAATAGTATTACAATAATAGCAAAAAAATTGGCGGATTCAGGAATTTTTAAACGCTGAAGGCGAGGAAGGAATAAACAGGAGGAAGGAGTATCTCCTCTAAAATACAAAACATCTAATTCCCACATTTCCTTGCAGACAATACCTTTTACTGACGGGGAGAGATTATAACATCAGAAAAATAAGAAGGGGCAAACTTTTAGTAGGATCCTTGATAACTATGCATTTACACCAGAAATACTAATGAAAAATCATAATACAAGGCATAACCTTTACTCTGTGTAAAAATAATTGATCGTGGGCAAGGAAGCAATTTCTGTGCGGAGTGTGTGATTGATGGGAAGGGGGGGGGGCAACAGGAATCCCTTGTCAAGAAATAAAAAGGCCATAGTCATTATTATTGAGGGAGCACTACTGTATAGTATATGTTGGCAATTTATTCGGAACATCCCAACCACTGTTTTTACAGATCTAACATTAGCCATTAAAACGATTAAATAAAACACATATAAAAATTCAGAAATACAGATACCTTTCATAGGATAAAAAGAAATACTAAAAGATATATAGCTAGATATTTTACCCTTGGCAAAAGTTATGTTATTATAATTTTCAGGAATATTTCTAGTGTAAATACATATGCTAACAAATGTTACCCAAGACCCAACTAAGAATTTGTTCTTTTATCGTATGTGACCTATTGAATTATACGCCTGCAAGGAATTGTGGGATCGAATTAAATGTTTTGTTTTTAAGAGGAAACATTTCTTTTTCCTATTAACTTCAATATAAATGGCAATTTGGCCATTAAAACTTGTTTGAATGCAAAGAAAAATATCAATTGAAATCAGGCTTTAAAACATCACCAGATTTTCAAATACTCATGGAAATGGATAAATGACTCTTTCAGTACATTTTTTAAAATTTGTTTTCTCATTTGAAATTGGTTATAAAATGACTATTTTCCTGTTTTAGTCTGTATACATATGCCCCCCCCCCCAATAAAACAACAAACCTTGGTATGAATTTGTGAAATAACAATTCATAATACCTGTAAAAAAGCGTCTTGCTTCACAAAGCAAAGAAGGGCTACTATTCGTGCAAAGTTGAGGAAAGGGGCAGAGATCTTAAGCAGCTCATCAAGTTCACTAAAGACCTCATGGGAAAAAAATGCAATCCCCTCTACCAACTACTTTGCCAGATGTTGATCTTGTGGAGGCCTTTTCAGACTTCTTCATAAGCAAGGTGACTAAGATGCGAGAAGGACTCCAACAAATCCAAGCAGATCAGTCAGACCACCATAGATTAGATGTAAAATTCATTGGAGAACACTTAACTGCATTTGATTTGACGACTGTAGATGAAGTTGAGTCAATCATCAAAAAGTCGGCAACCAAGTCTTGTGAGTTGGATCCGCTCCGAACATATCTGACAAAACAATGCTTGGAGTCACTTCTTCCTATTATAACATCAATTATAAACGCATCTCTCTCAGAATATGCAGTTCTTTCTAGTTTCAGGGAGGCAGTTATTACGCCCCTGCTCAAGAAACCAGGATTAGATAAGGAAATCCTTTCAAACTACAGACCTGTCAGCAATCTGTCGTTCATCTCTAAAATACTTGAAAAGGTAGTTGCTAAGAGACTAGACAACCAACTAAACTTAAAAAACTTAAATTGCCTTAGTGACACAATGAAGTCAGCATAAAGAAAACATCATTCTACAGAAACTGCTTTTCTCAAAGTGCATCATGACATTACGCAGGCATTAGATAGTGGGTCGTCTGTTGTCCTTGTGCTCCTCGACCTGTCAGCTGCATTTGATGTCATTGACCATCGTATCCTATTGGATAGGCTCAATGCAGCTTATGAAATAACAGATAGAGCCTTACAGTAGATTTAACCTTACTTAGAAAATCGACGTCAATCTGTGTCAATTAACTCGCTCAAATGCACCGAGCGAGTTTTTTCTTTTTGGAGTCCCTCAAGGGTCTATTCTTGGACCTAAACTCTGCAGTTTGTTTTCCAATCCTATTGGGGCCATCTGCATGTCGACAACATGGAATGTACTACCACAGTTATGCAGACGACTCGCTAATTTATCTCGTTATAAAACCAATAGAAGGCTGGAATAACTATTTTTCAAGATTGGAAGCGTGTATAGCAGATATTAGATCGTGGATGGCTACGAACCTGTTGAAACTTAACCAGGGCAAAACGGAGCTAATTATTTTCTCTTCCGAACACAACGCAACAAACATTCCACTTCACCATCTTAAAGCTAGAGATAACATTTCTGTTGCATCGCTCGTCAAGAACCTTGGCGTTTATTTCGATTCCCATCTGACATTTGAGAGTCATGTGTCTTCTATTGTGAAGACGAGTTACTTTCGTATCAGTAATATTGGACGAATTCGCCATCTCATAACAACGGATGCATGTAAGACTCTTAATTTTCAATGCGCTAGTTACATCAAGGGTCGATTATGCCAACTCTCTTCTGTTTGGAATCAACAGGACCACCTTGGACCGCTTACAGAAGGTGCAGAATTGTCTCGAGGACATCAAAGCGGAATCGTATTTCCTCCGTCCTTGCGGAACTGCACTGGCTTTCGGCCCAGTATCGACCACAATTTACGATACTGGTGCTTACCTACGTACTGCACCCTGTTTGGATATGCTCCTTCATATCTACAAGAACTTGTTGAAGTTTATAAGCCAGTTCGATCACTAAGATCGGAAACATCAATAAGACTTGTAGTAGCAAAAGTTCGAACTAAGACCTTTTGAGAGCGGACTATTAGTTAGGCAGCCACCAGTTTGTGGAACACATAAAATTGGCTCAAAATGTGGATGTTTTTAAAAAAATTGCTAAAACACACTTTTTAAAGACTGCTTTCCCTGAGTTTTAAACCCCTATGATTTTTATTTTTTAAAATATCTCAAACATTTTTAAAAAATAATTTTATGCATCTCTCATTTTCGTTTTAAAGCTTTAATTACTATCTTGTGCATTTATTTTACTATAATCTTATTGTTAAGCGCCTTAGAGTATAAGTTTTATTATATGGGGCGCTCTACACATGTTTTATTATTTATTTATTTATTTATGTAAAAATTAATTGTTGTGTCACGGGGGGGGGAGGGGGGTGAGGTATTATAGATGTTTTCAAAATAAATTTCCATTTTCCGTTGATTTCTATAGTGAAAAACACAAATTGTACCAATTAAAGACTTAAAATATATCTCTTTGTTTTTGCAAATAAGTTACGTCTTATGAATATTCACATAAATGTCTATATAAATATGAAAAATCACTCATGATTTGTATGTAGAACTATAGTTCGCCGTTATTTTCTTGCTATCATAGGATCTATACTCGTAGGATTTATTCAAGCATGCATAAAAGATAACAAAATAGCCTAGGGTAATATCATTTATAAGCAGTGGCAGTAAGCAGTGATCAGTTGGTAGTAAGCAGTTGGTTGTCGTATATGGAATTCCATATGGGCCAAAAACAAAACAAACAAAAACAAAACACACACACAGAATGAACATACACATATAGATTTTATTTATCAAATACTGCCCCATGAGGGAAGACAGCACCTTATGCCGGTTGATCCTAGATTGACTCCAGGAGGGAAATACTGTGAAATCAATAATATTCGTGGGAGCTTATTTTCTTTGATTGCTTAAATTGTACAGGTTCGTAGGAACGTAATTTCATGTATATTCCCTTATACCTACAAGAGGAACTATGGCAGTCACTTTGTAACCCTAGTTTATTAATTCGTGGAGGGTTTAATTCGTTGATGACAGGTACCCACGAATTTCACGAAGATTGAGCCACCACGAAATCTAATGATTCCACAGTGACTCTTGTAAATATGAACGTTATTTATTATAAAAACTTTCTATTCTGAAAACTTCAGAAGGTAACATCACTGTACCCCATTAGGATATTTTGCATAAAAATGACTAAGTTTAACAAAGCATTTTCACCATTAATGATCAAAAATATCTGTTATATGTACAACTGATCAGCAAAATCGTTGAATCCACACTTTTCAAAAGTTATGTCCCTTGGTCGCCATCTTTGGGAAGAAAGTTATAGAATCCTCACAGTAGCTTTCGTAGTTTTCTGGTCTGTAACTTTGTCATTTGACTGGAAAAATCTGCATCGTGTCTATCGATTTTCCGAAGATGGTGATTGAAAGAAAAAATTAAACCCCGTGGATTCATTGGAGCACACCCATTTGCTTGGTAGCATAAAGAGGAGAAATATCGTTTCTTTTTGTAGACCCCACAAAGGGACACAACTTTTGCAAAGTGTGGACTTGACTGTAAAGACTTCTATCTTGAAAACTATAGGAGGAGTTATCCGGACAAATAATAAACCCTATATGCAATATGTTTAGAAATAACAATGTTTAAGAGCTGGTATTTTTCTCATAAATTATCAAAAATAAAATCCAAGCAGCACATGTGTGCACATCTCTCATACATGTTCAATTTATCTGCAAAATAGAAAAAAATTCCCATCTTGAAAACTGAAGGAGTTATCTGGAAAATGATGTACCCTATATTGCAATATTTTGCAGATAATGATTAGCTTCAATAGGTAGTATTTTTCTAAAACAAATATCAAAAATCAAAATTCAAGCAATTTGCATATCTCTAATATATGTACAACTGATCTGCGAAATAAGAAGTCCCTATCTTGAAAACTGAAGGAGGAATTATTTGGACAAATGAGGTACCCTCCATTCAGTATTTGGCACAAAAAAATTACTAAGTTTAACAGCTTGCATTTTTCTCAAAAAGTTTCAAAAATCAATATCAAAGCAGTTTGCACATCTCTGATATATGTACAATTGATCTGCAAAATAAAAAAAAATGTTCCTGTCTCGAAAACTATAAGGGAAGTTATCCGAACAAATGATGTACCCTTTTGGCAGCCGCTCACCAACTAGCCCACCATTTTCACCAATTCAATTATTTCTCGTACGAGAAACCCAGTTAAAAATAAACAAATATCATTTTGCACACTTCTCTAGTGCATAATTTAAGATCTTTTTGTCGTCGACTAGCAGAACTGTTTATTCTGTATATAGTGTATTTCATAAGAATAAACTTACCCTAACAAAAAAAAATACTATAGTTAACTATAGTTTACTATAGTTAACTATAGTCAACTATAATATACTTTAGTATCAAAGTGTTCATTATAGTAAATCAAAGTTTTTACTGTAGCAAATCAAAGTATTTTTATTTTGGATTTCAATATTATATTTTTATTTCCCCGATTCTTACATGTATTTTTTTTATATTCAAAGGAAATATTACTTATATATTCACATTTATTTACAAAACTCACATCATTGGTATGTAATTTAAGAGATATTAGGACTCTAAATCTAAAAAAAACTTCTTGTGTATAATTTCATAGTAAATCAAAGTATCAAGGTATTTACTATAGTAATATATAGTAAATTTTTGTTAGGGTACATTTGAAGCGGCAAATTATGTGCATTGTTAAAAAACCCTTTGAAATAAATTTACCTGAAGCAAAGAAAACAAAACAAATAAGCAATAATTTATCCGTATTTGGATTTCTTACAGTTATGGGGATGAAGAATTTTGTCGAACGGAACTTGATAGTTTGGAAAGTTTGCTAGGAAACCTAAACAAAGGGAATATGATGAGGTTTTATTTTCCAGATAGTGATTTTCATGTAAGTAATTAAATGTCACTGTCTTACCTATGAAAGTGTTAACATTTCGAAGGTATGAGGTCATTTAGATTGATAAAAAAAACATGATTTTTTAAAAAAAACGTCTGATTTTTATCATTTTCCTGATTAAATATTTTTAATCCTTAAAAAAATCTTAAACTGTTTTTAGTATATTAAAAAAAAAAAAATCATATTACATGCATTATTGAATGGTTTACATGACGTTGTTATAACAAAATACAGGCCCGTAGTAAGTAAAAAGAGAGGGCATTTTTTCCAATGAGAATTTTTCCATACATACTTCCCACTCCCACCAATTTATTGTGTTATGTTGGAAACTTCTCATATTATTGTGCTGAAAATACTTTAAGCTCCAGCAATGGGATTGTTACCTATCCCCTTCGCCTCACGATTTATGAATTTAAGTTTTGCGAAAAAGCCTATTTGATTTTTTTTCTTGTCAATAATTTTTCTGGCTGCCCCCTTCCCTTTCTTTGAAATTTGAAAAAAAAACCTTGTTGCTACAAGTATGAATATTTGTACAATTACTCATGAATAAGGTGCGAAAATGTTATAAGATAAATTAGTCTCGATGTACTTATCAAACTTAAGGTTTCTGTGAGTTTTTTATGGATTCAAGACGCCTTTTACATTGAGAAACATACCCTGATAAATATTGATTGAATCTTTGATAGATAAATGAAATTGGGTTCCACTAAAATGTGTATATCCTCTTCCTGACAAACTTCAATCTTATTTTGTACTATAGATAAAACCTCGGATAAACTTTAAAGTGACGTGCAAGGCCAATGAATTTTATACACAGGTTCTTAAACTAGACAATGTGTCAAATAGTCTACCATCTGCATCTAAGAATTCATTTAGGTTTCAAAACACCAAGACGAACCTATGGTATGTACATTTTGTCTAAAATTTTCGTCGGATATTTCCTGATTTTATAGCAACACCAAATTTTCAACGAAGGAATATTTTTATCGGAAATATTTTTTGCAGGGTCGACGCTGAAATTCAAGTTTACTATGACTGTCATTCCGATAAAAACCAAATCTGTAACAAATCCGGTCACGTGGTTTGTGCGCCAGGTTACTTTGGTGACCGTTGTCAGCGATACTGTAATTCCTCTATTTTTAAGAACTGCACTTGCAGCACATACGGTAACCTTACATGTCAGAGACATTCCGTTGGAGCGTTTTTTGAAATACAGTTTGTTAAAACGCATATTCCAGAAAATGCATCAAACATCACTTACGACCTTATTGTCAAACAAAGGTAAATTAATTCGTAATACTTTTTATGATGAAACCTTTACGAGAATGTACTTTCTTTGAGAATATGATTATAAAGTTAAAATTGTTCTAACATATATATATATATATATATATATATATATATATATATATATATATATATATATATATATATATATATATATATATATATATATATATATCTTCTTTTAAGCTACAAGAATGTCACATTCCAGCAAATGACGTATGCACCTGTCATTCTTCACCAGACACCTGACTTGAGCAGGCTGGGATTTACCAATAATACGATGAGCTTCTACTACCCAGACTTTAACAGTTTTGTGAGTATATGTACAAATGGATCAAAGAGGACAAATTATATTTTTATCCCTCAAATCTGAACATAGTGCATCTGATACTTATCGTTGACCTATTCCAATGAACATCATTACGTATATTATGCTTCATCACTCAAGTGCAGATGTTCAGAATCATCTCCATATATTTCATTCAGTAAGTCTAGAGAAGTAATTAAAGAGGCTTTGTAAAGCACGAAAACCTTTGTATATTATTTCATTTTCATTGTTTTGGAAGCACCTTGCATAGTAATTCGGTATTCTTTTATTTTTCAAGCAAAACCCTTCTTGTGCCATTTATTTGAAAACTAACAACACACAACTGGGCCAAGTATTTAAGCTTCAAGATGTTGCTCCTACTAGAAATGCAGAATTCAGACCCCAGACTCTTCCGCTGCATAACGAAGGGGATAAAATCTAGTATAAACTGTATTCTTGAATGATGTTCCAATAGCAAAATTTACTACTTACGATTTCTAATGAATTTTTGTGTCGCCCGCAGAGCAGAGCGGCACTTGGGGATCACTTTGTCTGTCTGTCTGTCTGTCACACCCTATATCTCGAGAACTGTAAGAGATATGGATTTGATATTTTGCATATACTAGTATATTGCTTGGTACAATAACTTTTGTAAATTACCATGGTTTCTGACCTCGTGACCCTTGACCTTTGACCTACTTTTTAAAATAGTTCATAATGCCGATATACAGCATATCTTTGACATTTAAGAGCTAAGTCTATGCTCTTTAGCATGTGCACTGTTAGTCATGAAATATTATGAAAAATACTAGCACTACAATCCACTTGACCTTGACCTATGACCTACTTCGCAAAAAAAATACTCTGGGCAGTTCAACTTCATGAATTTTGAATTTTAAGAGGCAGGATTTTGATAATTAGCATTAATAAATGTTTATGAGATCATGCCACTGTAGTTTGAAACTATATGATATTCAGTTACCACACACACATATTTAAATACTATGAAAATATATTGGGATCAGTATTCCACAAAAGATCGTGTAGACTGACAATTGCAGTAAAGACGGACTGAAATCTCTTTTGGAGGATTGTTGGAAACACGTTGAGCTCATGATACAGTACTTTGATACTGTATCATATTCTGTTACCATAAAAACTTATATTGAAATACTATGAAAATTGCAGTAAAACAGACTGAAATCTTTTTTGACGGATTGTTGGAAACAAGTAATAATAAATGATAAATACTACTAGTTATTTCTAATGATTTCAATTTCATTATTTGTTTGAGGGTTAGGGACCCATACTTTCTTTGATTGTCAGGTTCTGTCGAAGTCTTATACTAACCATGGATGCAATTTTTTTTCTTTGCTGGCAAATGCATTTATAAACTATCATTCTAATAGTAAATAAAAAGCTGACCACTCTTAGATTTATTTACATCTTTAATGAAGCTACAAAGCAAGAGACACATGTGTTACTTGGAATACTCTAGTTCAGTTTAAGCCTTATAGAAAAAATGGATTTGATTTGATTTTACAGCTTTAATATAAAGTACCGCTTAGTCTACGACTGCATTCCACCGACTAGGAACTTTGTTTGTGATCATGGAAAAGTTATGTGTCAAGATTATCATTTTGGTGAAAATTGTGAGACGTTTTGTAACTCGAGCAGGCCGAATGGAACTTGTTACCACAACGGTTCATTCATCTGCAATCACAATCATTTTGGCGATAATTGTGAGATATTTTGTAACTCCAGTAGGCCGAATGGAACTTGTTATCACAATGGTTCATTCATCTGCAATCACAATCATTTTGGCGATAATTGTGAGATATTTTGTAACTCGAGCAGGCCGAATGGAACTTGTTACCACAATGGTTCATTCATCTGCAATCACAATCATTTTGGCGATAATTGTGAGATATTTTGTAACTCGAGCAGGCCGAATGGAACTTGTTACCACAACGGTTCATTCATCTGCAATCTCAATCATTTTGGCGATAATTGTGAGATATTTTGTAACTCCAGTAGGCCGAATGGAACTTGTTATCACAATGGTTCGTTCATCTGCAATCACAATCATTTTGGCGATAATTGTGAGATATATTGTAACTCGAGCAGGCCGAATGGAACTTGTTACCACAACGGTTCATTCATCTGCAATCACAATCATTTTGGCGATAATTGTGAGACGTTTTGCAACACAAGCAGACCGAATGGAACTTGTTACCACAATGGTTCATTCATCTGCAATCACAATCATTTTGGCGATAATTGTGAGATATTTTGTAACTCGAGCAGGCCGAATGGAACTTGTTACCACAACGGTTCATTCATCTGCAATCACAATCATTTTGGCGATAATTGTGAGATATTTTGTAACTCGAGCAGGCCGAATGGAACTTGTTACCACAACGGTTCATTCATCTGCAATCTCAATCATTTTGGCGATAATTGTGAGATATTTTGTAACTCCAGTAGGCCGAATGGAACTTGTTATCACAATGGTTCGTTCATCTGCAATCACAATCATTTTGGCGATAATTGTGAGATATATTGTAACTCGAGCAGGCCGAATGGAACTTGTTACCACAACGGTTCATTCATCTGCAATCTCAATCATTTTGGTGATAATTGTGAGACGTTTTGCAACACAAGCAGACCGAATGGAACTTGTTACCACAATGGTTCATTCATCTGCAATCACAATCATTTTGGCGATAATTGTGAGACGTTTTGTAACTCGAGCAGGCCGAATGGAACTTGTTACAACAACGGTTCATTCATCTGCAATCACAATCATTTTGGCGATAATTGTGAGATATTTTGTAACTCAAGCCGACCGAATGGAACTTGCTACCACAACGGTTCATTCATCTGCAATCACAATCATTTTGGCGATAATTGTGAGACGTTTTGCAACACGAGCAGGCCAAATGGAACTTGTTACCACAACGGTTCATTCTTCTGCAATCAAAATCATTTTGGCGATAATTGTGAGATATTTTGTAACTCGAGCAGGCCGCATGGAACTTGTTATCACAATGGTTCATTCATCTGCAATCTCAATCATTTTGGTGATAATTGTGAGACGTTTTGCAACACAAGCAGACCGAATGGAACTTGTTACCACAATGGTTCATTCATCTGCAATCACAATCATTTTGGCGATAATTGTGAGATATTTTGTAACTCAAGCCGACCGAATGGAACTTGCTACCACAACGGTTCATTCATCTGCAATCACAATCATTTTGGCGATAATTGTGAGACGTTTTGCAACAGGAGCAGGCCGAATGGAACCTGTCATCCCAATGGTTCATTCATCTGCAATCACAATTATTTTGGTGATAATTGTGAGACGTTTTGCAACACGAGCAGGCCAAATGGAACCTGTCATCCCAATGGTTCATTCATCTGCAATCCCAATCATTTTGGTGATAATTGTGAGACGTTTTGCAACACGAGCAGGCCAAATGGAACTTGTTACCACAATGGTTCATTCTTCTGCAATCACAATCATTTTGTCGATAATTGTGAGATATTTTGTAACTCGAGCAGGCCAAATGGAACTTGTTACCACAACGGTTCATTCATCTGCAATCACAATCATTTTGGCGATAATTGTGAGATATTTTATAACTCGAGCAGGCCGCATGGAACTTGTTACCACAACGGTTCATTCATCTGCAATCACAATCATTTTGGTGATAATTGTGAAACGTTTTGCAACACGAGCAGGCCGAATGGAACTTGTCATCCCAATGGTTCATTCATCTGCAATCACAATCATTTTGGCGATAATTGTGAGATATTTTGTAACTCGAGCAGACCGAATGGAACTTGTGACAACAATGGTTCATTCATCTGCAATCACAATCATTTTGGCGATAATTGTGAGACGTTTTGCAACACGAGCAGGCCAAATGGAACTTGTTACCACAACGGTTCATTCTTCTGCAATCAAAATCATTTTGGCGATAATTGTGAGACGTTTTGCAACACGAGCAGGCCAAATGGAACCTGTCATCCCAATGGTTCATTCATCTGCAATCACAATCATTTTGGCGATAATTGTGAGATATTTTGTAACTCGAGCAGGCCGCATGGAACTTGTGATCACAATGGTTCGTTCATCTGCAATCACAATCATTTTGGCGATAATTGTGATATATTTTGTAACTCGAGCAGGCCGAATGGAACTTGTTATCACAATGGTTCATTCATCTGCAATCAAAATCATTTTGGTGATAATTGTGAGACGTTTTGTAACTCGAGCAGGCCGAATGGAACTTGTTACAACAACGGTTCATTCATCTGCAATCACAATCATTTTGGCGATAATTGTGAGATATTTTGTAACTCGAGCAGGCCGCATGGAACTTGTTACCACAACGGTTCATTCATCTGCAATCACAATCATTTTGGTGATAATTGTGAAACGTTTTGCAACACGAGCAGGCCGAATGGAACTTGTCATCTCAATGGTTCATTCATCTGCAATCACAATCATTTTGGTGATAATTGTGAGACGTTTTGTAACTCGAGCAGGCCGAATGGAACTTGTTACCACAATGGTTCATTCATCTGCAATCACAATTATTTTGGTGATAATTGTGAGATATTTTGTAACTCGAGCAGACCGAATGGAACTTGTGACCACAATGGTTCATTCATCTGCAATCACAATTATTTTGGCGATAATTGTGAGACGTTTTGTAACTCGAGCAGGCCGAATGGAACTTGTTACCACAACGGTTCATTCATCTGCAATCACAATTATTTTGGTGATAATTGTGAGATATTTTGTAACTCGAGCAGACCGAATGGAACTTGCTACCACAACGGTTCATTCATCTGCAATCACAATCATTTTGGCGATAATTGTGAGACGTTTTGCAACACGAGCAGGCCAAATGGAACCTGTCATCCCAATGGTTCATTCATCTGCAATCACAATCATTTTGGCGATAATTGTGAGATATTTTGTAACTCGAGCAGGCCGCATGGAACTTGTGATCACAATGGTTCGTTCATCTGCAATCACAATCATTTTGGCGATAATTGTGATATATTTTGTAACTCGAGCAGGCCGAATGGAACTTGTTATCACAATGGTTCATTCATCTGCAATCAAAATCATTTTGGTGATAATTGTGAGACGTTTTGTAACTCGAGCAGGCCGAATGGAACTTGTTACAACAACGGTTCATTCATCTGCAATCACAATCATTTTGGCGATAATTGTGAGATATTTTGTAACTCGAGCAGGCCGCATGGAACTTGTTACCACAACGGTTCATTCATCTGCAATCACAATCATTTTGGTGATAATTGTGAAACGTTTTGCAACACGAGCAGGCCGAATGGAACTTGTCATCTCAATGGTTCATTCATCTGCAATCACAATCATTTTGGTGATAATTGTGAGACGTTTTGTAACTCGAGCAGGCCGAATGGAACTTGTTACCACAATGGTTCATTCATCTGCAATCACAATTATTTTGGTGATAATTGTGAGATATTTTGTAACTCGAGCAGACCGAATGGAACTTGTGACCACAATGGTTCATTCATCTGCAATCACAATTATTTTGGCGATAATTGTGAGACGTTTTGTAACTCGAGCAGGCCGAATGGAACTTGTTACCACAATGGTTCATTCATCTGCAATCACAATTATTTTGGTGATAATTGTGAGATATTTTGTAACTCGAGCAGACCGAATGGAACTTGTGACCACAATGGTTCATTCATCTGCAATCACAATCATTTTGGCGATAATTGTGAGACGTTTTGCAACACGAGCAGGCCGAATGGAACTTGTTACCACAATGGTTCATTCATCTGCAATCACAATTATTTTGGTGATAATTGTGAGACGTTTTGCAACACGAGCAGGCCAAATGGAACTTGTTACCACAACGGTTCATTCTTCTGCAATCAAAATCATTTTGGCGATAATTGTGAGATATTTTGTAACTCGAGCAGGCCGCATGGAACTTGTTATCACAATGGTTCATTCATCTGCAATCACAATCATTTTGGCGATAATTGTGAGATATTTTGTAACTCGAGCAGGCCGAATGGAACTTGTTACCACAACGGTTCATTCATCTGCAATCAGAATCATTTTGGCGATAATTGTGAGATATTTTGTAACTCAAGCCGACCGAATGGAACTTGCTACCACAACGGTTCATTCATCTGCAATCACAATCATTTTGGCGATAATTGTGAGACGTTTTGCAACACGAGCAGGCCAAATGGAACCTGTCATCCCAATGGTTCATTCATCTGCAATCACAATCATTTTGGCGATAATTGTGAGATATTTTGTAACTCGAGCAGGCCGAATGGAACTTGTTATCACAATGGTTCATTCATCTGCAATCAAAATCATTTTGGTGATAATTGTGAGACGTTTTGTAACTCGAGCAGGCCGAATGGAACTTGTTACAACAACGGTTCATTCATCTGCAATCACAATCATTTTGGCGATAATTGTGAGATATTTTGTAACTCGAGCAGGCCGCATGGAACTTGTTACCACAACGGTTCATTCATCTGCAATCACAATCATTTTGGTGATAATTGTGAGATATTTTGTAACTCAAGCCGACCGAATGGAACTTGCTACCACAACGGTTCATTCATCTGCAATCACAATCATTTTGGTGATAATTGTGAGATATTTTGTAACTCGAGCAGGCCAAATGGAACTTGTTACCACAATGGTTCATTCATCTGCAATCACAATTATTTTGGCGATAATTGTGAGACGTTTTGTAACTCGAGCAGGCCGAATGGAACTTGTTACCACAATGGTTCATTCATCTGCAATCACAATTATTTTGGTGATAATTGTGAGATATTTTGTAACTCGAGCAGGCCGAATGGAACTTGTTATCACAATAGTTCATTCATTTGCAATCACAATCATTTTGGCGATAATTGTGATATATTTTGTAACTCTAGCAGGTCTAACGGAACGTATTATCACAATGGCACATTCATCTGCAATCAAAATCATTTTGGTGAAAATTGTGAGACGTTTTTTAACACGAGCAGGCCGAATGGAACTTGCAGCCTAAACGGGACATTCTTCTGCGATTGCAATCATTTCGGTGAAAATTGTGAGATATTGTGTAAATCGAGCAGAATAAATGGAACTTGCAGATTCAATGGCACGTACATATGCGACAACAATCATTTTGGTGAAAATTGTGGGACCTTTTGTTACTTGATTAGGCTGAATGGAACTTGTGTCGACACCATTTCGCATCGATACAATTGTAGTTGTTGTGGTGACCACAAATTGTTTTGTTTCAACATTTTGAATCATAGTATTCGTTCTCAAAATGATACAGGAAAAGGCTTAAAAGTTTTCGTTAATGGGGATGTTAATATTTTTTCTAAGCAATGTATTACAAAGGGAAATGTTAGCAAATATTGTACAAAAATACGGTTCTTTCCAAATATTGTTACGATTTTTGATACGATTGAAATAATGATATATACTTGTACTGATGATGTACATCCTATAAGTAATTCAAGCAAACTTGAAATTTACAAGAAAAATGAGCTATTAAATGAATTTCTCACCGAAAAGGTACCAATCTTTTCTTACATATGTGATGGATTCTTAAAAAGAACTTCGTATGCTGAATTAATGATAGTTATTTGCAGTCAAAACGATGATGTGTGGCAGACAAAAGACAAACGTCTTAACAATTCCAAATGTATGCATCAGTGCAAAATAAAATATTCTGATAAATTTTGCAGTGATTTGTACTTCTTGAAATATAATATATCAAGGAATAAAACAGAAGAAAGTAAGCTGAAATTGGCGCTGAAGAACATGCAAGAATTCGTAACAGATACCATTTGCAGGAACAACAGACATGTTGGACAGGAATCACGTGACGATGTTTTTGATTTGAAATGTAACGATAACCTTGCCCAACCACAATGGAATAGTTTAAGTGTAAACCTGTGTTTTAAATATTTATTTGAGAATCAGTGTACTGAAGAGAATGGAAGTGATTTTATTTCAACTCTAGTGTTTCATGGAATCTTAACTGAATCAGGAGTTCCAGATTTTTTTCATTACTTGTCGGAAGCTTTAAGATGCACCGACGATAAACTGGTGTACAACATTGTTTCCAAAAGTACACAGAAAAAGTAAGATACTGTTCTTTAGATATTTTTCTGTCTTCGTGTAAATGGTATTCAAAGCGTTTCTCCTGTATAATCCAGGAGCCAAGTTAAGTAAGATTTGTACACATTTGATTATGAAAAATATCTTATTTCTATAATTTTATTTTTTCAGGCTAACTGATAATTCTACTATAATGACACTTTCATTTGAGTTTGTGTGTAATTGTACACTGATGACTCGTCAGGAAATAAACAAGTACATTTTGCATCACCTATCAGAACTGAACACACATATTCATCCGCCAATCATTTTACACGTACCAAAAGGGCGCCAGCATGTAAAAAGAACCACGAAGCAGGTAATAGTTTAACAAAGGAACTCTGTTTCTTAACATGTCATTTATTCTTAGCTAGGCCCATCACGTTTTAATAACAGTTTTGTTCTGCCCCTTTGTTTCTTTGTTTTGTTTTGTTTGTTTTGTGACACATCATTGTTATAATGTACTAATCTTCTATTTAATTCAAGGATTGGTTATCGACAAACTGGAAATTGACAGCGGCCATACTGGGATCGATTGCTATTGCGTTGTGCATTGTCCTCGTGGCTGAGATCTCCAAAATGTAAGTAATGTACGACAAATTGCTTTCAGTTAATTCATTGCTAATCAAATAACCATTTTTGGGGGTTACTTCAAGTTAATTATAATACAGGCATAAATATGGTACACACACAAATTCATATTTTCAAGTGGTAAAATAATAGAAAAAAAATTTCCAATGCATTTTTTATGAGTGGCTTTCTTTTTTTTTAAAGTCAAGATTTTGAAAAGCATTACACACAAGTGTTTCATATGGAAAAAATTACATTGTTAGTTGCTTATTGTAGAAAATATCGAAAATTATACCAGCTGCCATCTTCATAGTCGAATTCCAAGGAAATCAAGAAGACCAAGTTCCTTGATTGGTGGTGATGTCTAACTCTACCGCGGCCAGACAGGAAATAATCATCACTCAGGATCTAGCTTCTTCTTAATTATGCAATGCATGATAAATTTTGTTAGTTTTAAGAGTTGTTAATTCATTGTGCAGATAGGAAAGAGGAAACCTATATTACCTCGAAAGTGTACAAGGGTCATTCAATAAGTAATACAATATACAGTTTATCATAATAAATATAGAAGAATTTTATTTTATTTTTTTTAATAGTTGAATAGTTCTATTAAAGAACTTTGAATCACAGAAAATCCCATGCTTTTTCCTATTGTTGACGCAAAGGAATTCACATTTAAAGTAAGCATTGTCACTACTCTGAGCTGAAAACTGTTTAAAAATGATCTCTGCCAAGAAGATGAAAATGAGGGCGTATGTGAAAACTTTGCTTCTTTACATAAATAGCTGAATAACCCATATTAAAGATATGATTTTGATATGTGGAAAGACTAGTCTTTCATGCTGTATAGTTTTCAGATGGAAGCTGAAATTTGAAATAAAAAAAAGTACAATTAAAAGATCGCAGTCAAACTGGTCGATCGAAATCTGTAGGCCCGCACCAAAAATATCGATGCTGTGAGCAGCATGATATCTGAAAATTCCAAATTTGCATTGATAGACTTTGCTTAAACACGAAACATTTCATCGTCATAACAGTTTATAGATCGAGTTCTGACTAATGAAATAAATCTAACAATAATTCTATCAGATGGGTGCCTTATTTCTTTACAAATGCCTAAGAAAAAACACACGTTAAATGTGTGTGGAATCAGAGAGAAAGCTGTTGTCCTATTATTGCAAAGAGAGGCAAGGGCTCCAAATATGTTTTATTAATTTTCTTTTTATTAAAGAGGTTCATTAAAACATGTACATACAGCCAAAGGAAGGACTATCAATGGTAACTTTTATGATATAATTTTACTAAGGAAAGTTAAGCAGATTTTCTGCAAAGCAAGCCTAAATACCGGTCTCCGGAGTATTTAAGCTGCACCTGAAAATGCTGCTGCAAGTAAGCATAGAGAAATAAATAAAATTTTGAAGAAAGGAAAGTTTACAGAGCTTGGTCATCCCAAATATTAGCTAGATCTCAGCCGTTGTGAGATCTTTTTCTTCCAAAAACATGTGAAAGCAATCAAAGGAAGATTTTATAATTTCAGGTATATCATGGAAAGTGCTATTCATCAGTGTCTTTAGAGCATCCCTAAAGATGAGTATGCTGAGGTTTTCTTGGCATGGGTACAAAGACTTTAGACATGTGTAAATGTTAACGGGGAATGCTTTGAGGAATTGAAAGTATTAAGAATCTGCTGTACATGTTTTCCCTATTTTTAGATGATCTTTTGCATTATTTATTGAACGACCCTCGTACTATAGATTAAGTTAGGCAATAGCATCATCATGTGCGGTCAGTGCTTAGCTCTTCCCATAACCACATTTTAAAATAATATTCACTATAAATCGGAATAGTTACTGAATTAATACAGTAAAGTTTTAAAAACAATGGTATTGTGTGAACATTGAATTATACATTTCCTTGTTTTAAGCCACTCAAATGGATTTCTGTTTAAACTTTATAGGGAAAAAAAGCATCACAAAGCACAGTGCACAGTGCAAAAAACCCTTAATCATGATGCTTTAGCCATAAAACTTGATTTTATTTGAAACTCAGATGTTTTGGATATGTGTGCAGTTAGTTTGTTAAAATTGCCTATAAATGGTGTGTTCTGTACAGGAAAAGCTATTGACTTTTATACAATAAAGAAATGAAATCATAATTATTTAATGATTTAATTCATTATTGATATTCAAATTTTACATTTATATACCACACAGACCGTCCAAATCAATGTTGGTATTCATTACGGTCAGAGAGATGGTATTTACGTGTTTATATGTTTAGCTCAACTTCTGTAATGATTTGTGATCTTGAAAGTTTTAATATTTTGGTTTAGTAGGAAGCACCATTTATCGCTAAATCGCTGGTGGAATGTTGTTATACCGGAAAGAAACGGAAGGCAATTCGTATACATCGTGTCAGGTCAAATCAAAATTTTATTTGTTCATTTAGTTTCCACTGAAAGACAATAAACAACAGAGAAAATAATGTCATTTGTCAATATAATAAGACATACAACATCACATAAAATATATAGCTTAATAAAAAATAAAAGTTCTTGTAATACATATTACATTTAAAACTCAATGTTCTGATCAGAATTATCCCTTACAAAGTAATAAATGCGGGTACAAATTCAAGTTCAACCAAGAGTTTCTGATCCACATCAATCCTCTAAAAACCCGCTTGTTAGGTGCAGAGCTGGTCAGAAATTTTTTTTTAAATGAACTTAGTCCATATTTTTTATAACTCTAGTGTATATTTTCATAAAGATGCAAAATTAATGACCATTGCACTTTTTATTTTAATTTTCAAAGTTTGGTTAGCTAATATGCTGCTAAGTTACTAATGTTGTTACAAATTCTTTGAACAATGTTCCTTTTTTATATACTAAGAGTTAAACGAGATTAAATACTATTTAAAATATTATTTAATTATACAGCTGTATACGGACATACATTGATTGTCAACAGTATTACATCGTATTAAAACAAACAACATAAGTAAACTTTTTTTTAAACACAACATAAACAAGAGCAGCACTTCTTCTCCTCCTGGACAGCAGGTGCTTCCTGATGCCTTGTGAAACTGAGGAAAACCTGTTCTAACGTCGTCTGATGCACAGAGTAGTCCTCAATATCAAACTGAGATTTTGCTCGCTCCATCTCTCCAAACACTCTGCCCAATGCTACATTGTTGTCCGGAATTTGAAAATGCACGTAGCCCTGGTGATCATCAAATATCGTGCTGTCCGGAAATGTAGCTTTTACAAAGTTTTTAAGGGGCTCAGATGGAGCTGTTGTGCCATCTTTTTGTTGGGCAAGCCTTGCAATGAGAGTGTATCCATGGCCGAATTTGTTCTTTAAATGTTGTGGACTTCCAAAGCAGACAAACTTTCCATTTACCATTATCACAATCTTTGTACATAATGCGTCACATTCTTCCATGCTGTCGTGCAGATATTAATTCAATAGTATGACTTTTTTATCGTAACATTGAACTGATCTATTTGTTATATTAACCTGTCTTAATTTAAGATTTACATATATTTACTTATGTAAACACCAGGAAAATTATGATTAACTATTCAGTTTGATACAACATTAAATTGATATGATATATGAAGATGACGAACAGTTATCAAGCTCAAAAATCCGTTGGAACAATTATACAAATTGAGAGAAGAGCAAACACGGACAACTTAAAAACTTTAATAACTATACCTATGAGAGGTGAGGATTAGGGTCCGCCCACTGGCGCGGACCTGGGAGAGAACATTCCAGAGCTGTCTTCTGGCAGCTGGATCCATCCCCGTTGTGGGTTCGTCAAGGAGAATAAATGGAGGATCTCCAATCAGAGCGATGGCTGTGCTCAACTTCCGTTTGTTACCTCCACTGCAAAAAGTTCCAACGTTCTGTTTAACAATTTTGCAAACATGATCTTTAAAATTTCAGTAGATTCAACTTGTACTAAAAATGGCTGGTCTCTCTCAAAATGCCCAAAACTGTAAAAATTAAACAAATTGAAAGAATCAATTTTTGTTCAAATCTGTGATGTTCAAAATAAGTGCTTATATAAATGTAGTACGTAATATCCATGCCACTTCCTGTCTGCTTGAGATACACTAATTATCAGTACTTATGTACAACATTTACCTGTACGTGCCACACTGCCTATCAGCATACTTTCTAAGCATCATAGTCTCTAATAATTCGTTGACCACGCCTTTAATTTGGGATTCCTTGATTCCCCTCAATCTGGCATACATGGTCAGTGTCTCCCTACCCGTCATTTGATCTATCAGGGCGTCAAACTGGGGACAGTACCCAAGGTTCTGTTGTACCTATGAAAATAATTTATGATCGAGCCACTTCAATAACATGAATATTAAGTATTAAGTACAACATTTGTTGTTCATAAATTGCAATCTTGAATCTTTATTTTGGTCTTTACCTAGTTACATATAGATGTAATTAAATTTTAAAATTATTTCAATTCTATTTGAGCGACATCGTGAAGATTATCCTCTGCAAAGCAAATTGCAACGTTTGGCCTTTGGGTTAATTGACAATTTCAAGATTCTTTGTTGTGTACATTCATGGAGCTAAATCCTCCGAAATGTGCATATAAAAAGATTTGAGTACGAACCATTTCAAGTTCCGTTTTGACGTCATAGCCATTCAAGTAGGCGTTACCACCTGTCACCAATTCATCCCCCGTCAACATTTTAAATGTTGATGTTTTACCCGCCCCGTTTTGTCCTAAGAGTCCGAAGCACTCTTGTTGCGACACGCCCACACATACACCTTTGACAGCAGTGTACGAACCATAAGACTTGCTGAGGTTTCGTAGAAGCAAGGATTCAGTCTTGAGGAGGCTATCGATAGAAGTTTTATTGATGCGGCGCTTTTCTTCTTCGACATCATCGTCGTCTGGGATGGCATCACTTTTACCGACCTCTGACGAGACAGCAATGGGGTCACGATTACAGATCATATATCGGATGCGACTGATAACGCCGAACTCCACTAAGAACACAAGGATCATGTAGAAAAGTCCCTGTGCTGCCATGAAAACGAAATATTTTCCAACACCCGGAATCTCCCAAGCTAGGTAATTCTTTTCAAAGATTAAACAGTTCTCCGTGCAGATATCTGCGAAAAACGACAAATGTAAAGTATCAGTTTAGGCAAGTCTCCTTATAAAATCCTAGGTAAAAAATTACTTTTAGTATGTGTGTTAAGGTTTGGAAAAAATTGTACTTAATATACTTTTTATTGTGATTGAAATGACTCTAATTCACTGATGGAATTAATATTGTTTCCTTCATTGTTCCTAATGATGCTCACCTCTGCAGCAGGATTTAATTTGAGGATTAGGAAGAGAGCACATAATTTCGTAGTTCAACTTTGTGCACGTGTCTATGTATTCGTAATTCACATACATGTTCATCAGTGTCTGACCCAAACAGTAGTTTGGGAGGAATATAGTAAACAACCAATCAAAAGTATCGGATATGTCTTCTGATATGCCGAGGTCAGGGACTCTGAGAGTGAAAACAGCCATTATTGTAGCAAGACCTACAAATGATTTGAAACATGGAAAAATTCAAGTATAACTTGAAGTTGCAGCTCAAATTGAATATAACTGCCTTTCAAGTGGGATTTTAATGTGGCACTAATTTACATTACTGGATACATTTTCGATGCTTAATAAGAATTAAAAAAATACAAACCTGTAAGAATATTTAATAAACTTCCAGCCACCATTCCAGAAGCTGGTGTTTTAAACAGATAGTAGAATATATACACAAATGGCATGCAAGCCCAGCCATACAGGAAGAACATGGCGTAAATCAGTCCAAGACGGTTATCTCCCGTGTAAGCCTGGGTTTGGAAAGCAGCGAAGCAAATCATGATCAGGATAATAGGAATCTGATAGTTCAGTAGATCCCACACAAGGTTGGACATCCAATAGGCAGAAGAACTCACGCCGCTAACCTTCTGAAGGTGTTTTGCTCCGGTTATTTTTTCCTTGATCAGAAATATAATGAAACTCGTGGAAAGAAAAGCTAATCCAAAGAGCATGCAAAAGGCGATGGTGAAACCAGTTCCTCTTGTGGCATATCCAATGCCACGACTTGTGTCATCCAACGGTCTAGGGAAGGGAAAATTAGTGGTCTGAATGGAATGATTTTTACTGGTGAAATGTTTGAGCAAAGAATCCATTGTATAGGTCAAGCTTATCGCACTTGCATGCAGTGGATCTCCATTGAAATACGACGTTATGTTGCCAGCGGACGCACTTTCTATGTCAAACATACTCCCAATAATGTAGTTTCTTTTGAAAATTGCTTGAAGGACTCGCTTGGATTCTTCAATGATAAAATCATCGAAGTCATTCTGGTCATATTTCAAAACTTTGTATCCATCAGACATTATAGAATCTGCATAATCAGCTGCCATGGACTTACTCATGGGAAAAGCAGATTTCGAGGTATACATTGCCAAATTGTCTGGAAACGGTTTCAAATTCAATAATAAAGATGATTCGTCCTCTTGCTTTGGGAGAGTCTTTTCCACGGTGAGAGCTAGGAGGGTAAAAACAACTGGAACAAGAAGCTGGACCAAAGTGACTGTTCTGTTCCTCCAGGTATGGATTACTTTTTTGACAAACATGCTGTAAAACTGCTGCAGAGCTAGAACTGTTCCGCTATTTTTCTTCAGACCAGTATTGAATCCTTTAATAAGAAATCAAACCTTTAATGAGAAATCAAACCTACTGATGAAAAAAACCCATTGCCCCCTATACCCCTTTTATAAATTAAATTTTTTAAAAAAAAATTTCCTCACTGAAATAGAACGTAGGATTTACCTATGTAAGTTTCCTCATTAGCAACTTTTAAATTTTGAACCACTCCATTCTTTGTTTTGTCCGCCGAGCCGTTAGTGACGCCATTGGGGATATCGTTAGTACTGCCGTACCCGCCGTTCTCATAGGCCACTGAAGACTTAGAAGGAGTGTACATTTCTTCTTCAGATCTTTGGCTGCTTTCCCCAACTCTATCAAATATTCAAAGATTGAACAAGATTAAAAGAATGTCGATACCAATTTTTAACAAATCTTCCATTAATCTTCAATGCTTTGCATTCTACTGAACTTTTTCTTTATCAGAAAATTTTAAATTGATATTAATAATGACATGCAAAACTTTACATCACATAGACTTAGTCTCTATATCACAGTTGTTCAGAAGGTATATACCCCCCCCCCCCTTAAACTTTTTGAGCATGGAAAAACAACTTGTTCAGTCGGTGGGGCAAACAATGTCTTCAATTTAGCCTTGATAATAATAAATTCTTTGTCTGTTTTTTTCTTAGCAAAAACAAAAGAACAAGAGATAAATTCAGAGTTCTTTAACAGAAGACACATGCAGGACCCTGTTTTTGCTTCTTAAAATTGTCTACCCACTTTGCATACATATAAAATGGTGTTAAAATTTGATAAATAGGTTTTGATTACTTCTCTACATCTCGATTTATAAGCTATATACATTCATCTGTATTTTTTCCGTGTTATAAGTAGGTGTATCCTGTTGAAAGGATTTACAGATAAACAACAGTAAAAAGTCTCTTATACACTATATACATAACAATAAGTGGGATTGGCAAATATCACTGAGTCTACTGTGCGTACACAAACTGTATATATACACTGTTGATAATATATCAAAATGCACACACATTATTTAAATGTACATACATTCTTTAAATTCAATTTCACATGTTTATGATGATTATACTTCGATGACTACAGTGTTTTTTTTATTTTGATGAAAGGAAATTGTTGTATTGAAGCACTGTATTAAAAAAAAAAAGTAAGCATAAAACTAATGTTTTAGTTTTTTTTAATACCACCTCATAAACTAAAATAGTGTAAATTTTCATGAATTAGCGGAATCTTTTCCTAAAATTCAGAAGAAGTTGCGTCATTCTAAGGCAATTTGTATTCAATATTAAGATAAGAAATAGTAATCGAACTAAAAAGTCCGATTTAAATCAAATTGAGAGTGGGACAAACACGGACCCCCGGAAACATCAGAGGCGGAACGATGCCATAGAGGAGTAAGCATCCCTCGTCGGCAGGTCACACCCGCCATGAGCCCTTTGTCTTGATCGGGTAGACAGAGTAATCCATAAACAATCTAGTATGAACATAATGGCCAACAAAACTGTATCAAAACATCATTCAACTTTCGACATTACCACAGGCTGTAATTGCTAACAAGGTAATAGTATACATCAAAGAATTTGCAAAATGTTGTATTTAAACGAGATTGTTGATACCCTTATGTAACATCATTATAATTTGTCGGTAGTTTCTCACGGTTTAGAAATTCTTCTTACAAATCAGTTGGGAGACATAAACATATATGCAGGTGACAATGGTGTATTTCCACTTAAATGCTACTTAAATGAAGAAAGTTGAGGTCATCATGTTTATTATTCAGTTGCTAGTTTGCCATTACAGTCTTTCTCTTGTAAAAACATCCACATCAAGAGATTTCTTCTTTTAATGTAAGTTTTTTTTTATTTTGCTTTTAAGAATACAAAATCAACTACGTCTGATAACAAAATACGACCCATAGGTATGTTCTACATATTGTTGGAAAACCTGGTCATGGTTCTTTTTCTTGCTAACTTATATATAATAATATATGTACAATATAATAATATAATAATATATAAACATTTCTGATAAAACTACACATTGTGTCATCAACCTTTATTCTTGCTACAAACTAACAAAGGAAAATTAAGACATTGAGATGGTGTTGAGAGAAAAACTTGCTTCCAAAGGAATCCAGTGTTTCAAGGATTGGGATAATTTGCTAATTGCTAAAGGATATGTTAGAGGTTTAGAAAAATAAGTAATGGAATATCTACGGTAACTTACACTTGTCTCGGACATTACTGCAGGTGATGCAAGACATATAACGTTAGAAATGTGAAATGATCCGCATATGAACTATTGCAAAATTCAATTTTGTTCTCAGAATTAACTGTTGAGTAGATGTTATTATTGTGAAATAATTTAAGACAGAAAACAATTTGAAAGATGGTTCATCTTTGGTCGGTAGCGGCAAAGTGGTCAGTGGCGTAAGGTAGCTTAGTATTTATCCAGTTCTGCATGTTTGAATGATACTTTCATAAAATGTTAAGGTAAGACGACATATTTATTAATACTCAATAATAAATAATTTGGTCCAAGAATTTGTCATTGAAGTATTACTACTTTAACAAGATTCCTTACAAAAAATCAAGATACCTTACCAGACACTTGTGCAACTATTAACAATGTTATTTACTATATAATCCTAATGGAAATCATTAGTATTTCCAATATCACATTCTTTTGTATCTTTATCTACATATACATTTTGAAAAGAGTTTAACAATAACAAGATAATGACAATTATGATTAAATTGTTGTATATTACGAATAGAAACAAAACAAATATTCGAGCAACTTGTTGTCTGACCTTAAAAAGAAAATTAACAATACACTGTACTAATATTAAGAATTATATCGGTAAAAGATTTTCAGTTATAGAGTATGCTATGGTTGCCTTGCCAAATCAACACTGGGATCAACGCTCCAACATTCTTTTGATGATAAAATAATAAAACACATAGTAGCTTGGGATTTACTGAGTTCTGTACGAGCGTGTTTGAATGATGCTTTCAGAAAATATCAAATAAAAATTAAGAATTGTATAGGTATGATATATGGAGATAACGAACAGTATTAAAGCTCAAAGTCCATTAAAACAATTCAAATCGGGAGCAGAGCAAACACGGACCTCCAAAAATAGAGGTGGGATCAGGTGCCATGGAGGAGTGAGCATCCCCTGCCGACCGGTCACACCCGTCGTGGATGCTAAATTTACATTGATATATCCACACTGAGATCAATGCTCCTCCATTATTTAGATAACAAAAGATTCTTTTACCATTATTCAAAGGTTGAAAATTCAATGAACTGATATGGAAGGTAACTCTTACTTAAGAAAGACCTCCTCCATTGTTGTGGCAGACGTTCCAAAACTTGTTAATTTCAGCTCTGATTTCCTTTTCTCTATTTCATTGAACAGTTGTTCAAATTTTGGTGATTCGTCAAATGGAAGAAGATATGACAACTCTGCACTGATCTCGCTCTCAAGTTCAGCCGCTGGGATGTGCTGCTTGATTACGTTCGTCACAGCGGTGACGTCACATCCTTTATCCTTCACCATGACAAGATGGTATCCAGCTCCTGTATAAGCATTATGGAGATAGAAAAATATATAATATCTGTTATATATCATTATGAAAATTTTATTCAAAAACGTGCTTCGATGTTAATCAATTGTAAAACATTTTTTCGGCTATTCCCTGTGATGTTTCACTATATTCTGTAAATGATTGTAGAATGACTTTGGTCTGCTTTCCGCTATCACGCACATCTTAGTCTATTCATCATAATTATATGCTTTTTATTGTAAATATCTACATGCATGAGCAAATGTTACTGGCAATTTTTTTTCGGAAAAAAATTAGGCTGTAAATATATATATATTATTTTACCATATAACTTTTTCAGAAACAAAGACGTTCCACAACATTTGACTACTCCTTCCGCCATAATGGCAATACGATCACCAAGGAGATCGGCCTCGTCCATAAAATGAGTGGAAAGAATCATGGTTTTATCTTCTCTGAATTTCTGTAAAATTTCCCAAGTTTGGCGTCGAGCCGCCGGATCCATACCGGAAGTTGGTTCGTCCAGGATAATGACCTTAAAATCATTTTTTTTTTTTTAATAATCTCACACCCATGATATTTTTTGAAAGTTTTTATGATTTATCATTTAAAAATTTTTTATGATTCATCATTAAAAGATAAGATTTATTCTTAGATTTTTCATAGATATTCTTTGCAAAAGAGAGAACACTTTGTTTTTGCTACACGAAATACCGGTATGAATAATGTTTGTACAAATATTCAGACGAGTTTTACCTCTGAACCTCCGATTAATGCTATTCCAACAGACAACTTTCTTTTCTGTCCGCCAGATAGAGTCATGGAGAAGTTCTTCCTCTTGGCTTCTAATCCCAATACCTTTATCATGTCGTCCACTTCTTTGTTTACATTTTTCTTCGGACAACCTTTCAACTAATATTCAAATATTCACAATAAGGGTAAATTTTTTAGACAGATTCTCTGATTTACGGATTCTATCACTTTAAAGTCAATTTCAAAAATATATATACGTTATACATAGAATCACTGAACATACAGAAACATTGACGGAATAAATGTCAAAATTTCTACTTGTCAAAATTCTTGTTACTTAACAATGTTAAATACAAGTAGACCGTCAACGTTTCCGCTCGACAAAATTTCTGAAATCGACAAATATTGAATTCTTCAATATAATCACGTTTACAGTATTAATCTATCATTAACTTTTCTTCATGGAAAACTATTTCTAAGATCAAATTTATTCGTATGTTAACTAGGTAAGAAAAGGTTTTATTTTAGTACGTATGTACCTGTGCGAAGAATTTCAGATGCTCCTCAACAGTCAGTGTATCAAACAGAATGTTATGCTGAGGACAGAGTCCTAGACTCCTCCTCACGTTCTGAATGTCCTCACAAATATCATAACCGTTCACTGTCGCTGTACCCGATGTAGGAGGGAGGAAACCTGACACAAGATATAGTTGTTAAAATACTTGATATATTGGGGGGTGGGGGGGGGGGTGGAGTGGATTGAAGGTATTGTACAAGTGTTTCAAGAACTCTGAACAATTGAAGAATTAGTCAAAATACACATGAATTCTGATCATTTATTATTTTGTCTTTACCTGTCAGCATGGACATGGTTGTTGTTTTGCCAGCGCCATTATGACCCAAGAGTGCTGTGATCTGACCTTTGAAAATATTCAGTGTTGTGTCGGCTACCGCCACTTTCTTCTTCTTCCCGCCACCAAACTCCTACCAGCGTAAGTGAAATTTTTTATATCAGTTTTGTCCAAAAAAAAAAAAACAACAACTTAGGAAAGAATGAAACATACACTATAAACACAGTAAAACCTGTAAACAAGCCCTATAGTTCGTGTACCTTTCTAAGATGGTTGATACTAATTCCGACAGATAAACCATTAGGGTCTCTTTCGAAGTATTTTGGATCCAACTTTCCTGTATCACTCGATGTTGAGGAACTTTGTGTTGTGCCACACCAGTAATTTTTCTGGAAAATGCAACTCACGGGTAGCATTCTTGCAATTTAAGGATACATATAAATCTTTTTTTTAATTTAACAAATAAATGGCTACTGTTTGGGGTTTAGGAGTATGTAAATTATAGTTACGTACATTGAATCACATACTGTAAACTTGAAAAATTACGCTTAGGGGTAATTTAGCTATGTAATTTTTACAAAAAGTCTTTCGCGAAATTATTTCCCCGCGTGAAAATATCTTTATACATACTGATAAAATGAATTATTATATACCCAAGTGTGTATCACTCAATTCTACTGTAGATTTCGTACAATTACGTGAAGGTGTGATCCGACTTTATGGATCACCACACTGTGGTTTTCTGAATCCATATCACCCCTCTTTGAAATTGATGACGTAGTACACAGAAACATGACGTTATTTTTCATGTGCATCAAAAAGTTCCTTGACAAAATGCTTTGTTTAATGGAAAAATCTTATATAATTAATCTCAAAAGTTTTTTTAAACTATATTTTGCTAGTTGTAAAGGGGGTATATAATAAATTTATCATTATAACAGTAACTTGATCCGAAGAGCCGTATCACGTCTCGTTGACAGGCGCAGATCATCAGATTAAACTCGACGCTTCGCGTCTCGTTTGATCTGATGATCCGCGCCTGTCAACTCGACGTGATACGACTCTTCGGATCAAGTTACTGTTATAATAATGTATATTTATATATTGGTACCGCGGAAGTAATACCCATGCGTATGGTTATCTGCTGATAATTGGCGTTATTAATATCACGCGTAAATATCAAGGTTTACAGTTAACACTGAAGCAGTTTTTGCATGAATTACCGTGGGTTCTAATATATGGTATATTAAATATTTTTATATAAACGATTCACAATTCTTCGAGTTGATATCAAGTTTGCATTTCAAGAAACCGTACTATTCATAAATAAAATTAAAAAGAAATATTTCCTACCGAAAGAGGGAAATACCATGGCAAGGGAACACCATATTCTCCCGGGAATACGCCATCTACATACCACGTGATGACGAGATAAATTCCACTCGACCCCAACAACATCAACATGGCGTCAAGCAATGAAAAGTTGTCGTCAACAGTTGCTGGTTCAGCGAAATTATTCCACTGTGCACCATATCCTAACAAAAAAAGACGTTTGATAATAAATCTCAAAAGTGTAAAATTAAATTTAAGTTTTGTTGTTTATCCTCATCTGACTTTCAACAAAATATACCTGTTCCTTCATATATTCCAATGGTATTTATTCCAAAGGCCATTCCCATATTGTTAAGAATACAAATCCCGAGTTTTTCCGATTTTGACATTGTTTCGTATCGACTTTGGAGGAAGAAGTATGGAACATACGTACAGAAATAACCTATTCCACTGGCGAAGGCGGCCGAATTCGCTAGAATAAAAACAGGAATTCAACAAAAATTATAAATTATGTCTTATTCTAGTATAGAAAACACAGGAAAAATTAAAAGGTTCATCGTTATCATCAAATATCTAGGATAAACTCACCAGTTATTTATATTGTCATTGTATTGATCTTTTCTTGTGCTAAGTATCTCATTAGCAAAACTAGTATATAAAATCATTTATATTGACCATTTTATGATCTTAGAAATGGTAGGTACTTCTTTTATGTCAAAAAAAAGTCATCGATGGTTTGGAATTTCAGTAGGAGGTCACATGTCAATGCCTGCATCACACCGAGCGGTCAAACAGTGACGCACACTGTAAATTTCACATAGATCAAAATGTTAGCACTGACAACGGACTTGCATGTGCATATGCCCTCAGCGTTTTCTATACGACAAATATTCTTACGTCATTAATGTTTTATCAGAAACACCCAAAAGTCCAAACTAGCGATGAAAATGTCTAATAAGTAAAATATACGATACCTTTGTTGAAAAATGTGCTGACCATAAAACAGAAACAGATGATAGACACGGAATAACAAAGGAGGAATACAAAGAACAGGGAGGGATCGGTCTTGGCGAGCACCTTGCCTTTGTCTGAAACCTCTATAGAGAACAAGATGCTGTAGAAGGCTGAGGCAATGATGAGGTAAATTGAACTTTTAAACAGCCAGGACGCCCAGTAAATGGAGGAGTTCAGACCCATCAACTTCATAGACTCCTGTACAATGAAAAGGTTTGAACGGTTATGAAGGTCAGCGTTAGTTCTTTCATATTGTCGATTTTATCATCAGGGAAGCACTTTGAAATAAGAACTGACAAATGCTATCGATTTTTGAAATACAAAAGTAAGGACTAACTCTGATCGTGCAAGAAATGAATTATAATAAACTCTTAAGCCTACTTTCAATTTCTTTTCCTTTTCATACACAATAGCTTTGGTTGTTTGTAGTGAAGAGAGGATGAATCCAAGAATAAGGAAGAAAGGAAGGTACATCTGTATAACAGTAGTCAGGTTGTCTTTAGTGTAGGGTGGATAAGGCATCTTCTTCATGAAGAAGTCATAATTATTTAGATTAGACGTTGCATTAAAATGCTCGACAATGGCCATATCTACAGCATACTGGAAAGCTAAGAAACCGGTCCCTTGGTAATCTGTAAAATTTAAATATAATCATTCGTGGAATACTTTTGTTTCCAAGAAATATTTTTAATAAATACACATGTATTAATATGTTTATAAGTTCTTATGAATGTCAGTCCGTCGAACTTCTTTGTGATTCTTTGTGTGTTCTTCGTGATTGAGAACTTAAAACTGACATAAAAGGTAGTAGCACATATCTTTAATACAAAGATCTTATGTTGCTAAGTGTTCTTTTGTTTCTGAATAATGTTTTTTATTCATAATTCAGAAAAAAGAATAACCTGGATTGCCTCCCGTTGATATGTTATTTCTTGGACCAGTGAGCTGAAAGAAGGGATACACATTCTTGGTGAGCCATCTGTCAGATACGTCCTTCCGGGCCACGCGCAAAGTGTAATCCACATTGCTTGGTAAACCGGAAGCTGCCTTCATGAAAGAAATTCCAGCGCGAACTTTTATATGATTTTTTTCGTGGTATTCCAGTAATGACTCTTCGCTGTCAAATCCGTATACTGAAGAAAAAGTAGTCAATTTGAAGACGTAGAAGTTATTGGTGGCGAAGATACAACAGAGGTATCAGGCGAAAGTATCAAATTTAAAGGATGAAAAAATTGTAAGAAAAAAATCCAAGGTGGTTGCTTCTTTTAGTTAAAGTATCGCGTATAAATGTATTTCTTTTGGAGAAGAGAATATTCTACTTACCATGCCAATGGTGTTGCGTTCTGTTATCTATGGAAAAGAAGAAATTTCACACACTGACTCACTTCATAATTATATTTCAATCAATGTAAATAAGACTACTTCTAAATATATTTTCATTTGCTGCATTAATTTTTTTTTTTGCCTTAAATATATGCATATAACAGTTTTTATTCTCAAAAAAGAGAACATTTGATTAATTTAGATATTAGAGAATATTTATCAATTACCTAAACTAGTAGTATTTGGTAAATAATTGCGGAAATTTGTCATTAAGCTTCTAACTGCTGTAGTATTGGGTGAGTACAGAATTTCGTTTTTCATTCCCTTTAGAAACACATCTTGAGGTTGGAATGGCGGCCATATTGTTGGATCTGATATAGTTTCATTCTTCGCAATAAGTCTTATACAGACCAGAATCACTGCAAACACTATTGGTAGGACGATTTCAAACACAGTTACACACACTTTCCTTTTCTGTAGAAGCCAATTCTTCCATAATAATAAAACAAACTGCTTTCCAAGGTTAGTCATAATGTTCACTCAAGAATTGTCTTTGTCCTCTTCAGAAATACAGATCTTTATGTCTCCTTAAACTGTGGAAAAAGTAAGATGTCTATAACTAATGACACAAATCTGAGAGGTGAGAATGAGAAAGTCCCTGATAATAGATGTCTCTGGCATTTCATAATATAAAGAAAATTAGTTTTTTACCTAGAAAATATTGATTAATGCATACTATAGTACTTTCTTAGTGAACGGCACACGATTTTTAGTCAAAGGTGTGTACAAGAAACAAGGGTTGAAGTAGTATTGTATTTCTTAACGTGCTGTATTGAGTAGCTAAACAATTATTTACATTATATTGAAATTAGGGCCACAAACAGGAAGTGCGAATAACGAACGAAAAGGAAAAATTATAAATCTTTTATTTTCCACCATAAAAACCATGGATACAATAAGCATTGGGTGATTGATTTCTATAGCCGTGAGAAATGAATCTACGATGATATTAAAAAAAAAAAGAATTACCTTTATATTTAAGCTTGTTGCGCCCTGATTGTGGCGTATTTACAATGTGGAAAGAGAAGCATACCTACCTGAATGCCTATAGCAACCGTTTTCTTCACTGGGGTCTTCACGCCACTTTATGACGTCACTATTCTTGGTACGGATTTTGATGACGTAATCTTATATAAGGAATCCTGTGACGTTCTCAAACACAAGGTGATAGCTAAAACAACCCCCCCAAAATACAGAAAGTTTTGTGTACCCAAATCCGAATAATTCCTTATATATTGTTTACCTTAACCAAAACAAATAAGCACTTAAAACGTCAGTACCAATTGAAATTATTACAATCGGTACCGGCATAGTATCAAAATATAAACAGAAAGTACTCTTGTACTGTACTGTATGTAATGTGTACATTCATTCAGAGAATATAATCTAAAACGCTCAATTATGTTAATTGGTATGATTATTCTTACCTCTATTAAGATTTGCGTAGTGAATACTCTATACCAGGGATACAGTTAAGACAAAATTCAAACTCCCCTTCCTCACGTGTGCAACAACGCGATTTGAGTCATTTTTATAGCATGTAATATATCTTCAACCTTTCACACACACTATCGATAGTCAACCTTAACCTTTCGTAGTCATTATCTCTAAACACGTGTACCCAAAAGTCAACAAATACCGAGATCAACAGCAGAGAGACGTCGATTATTGAATAGTAGGTCCCTTATATATTGTTGGTTTCGTAACTGCAGTTTCACGTGCATGCATTTACTGTGCATCAAAGGATGGACAAGTCTTGTGACAATTTTATAAATCCCTGGAATTTATCGATTGCGCAGACCACACCTTTATGTGCTTGTAGGAACCTATGGAATAATTCCGTTTTCCCCTATTCACAAAGTTAACGTTATTTAACGGAATGAAAAGCTTTTTTGTCATAAAAATATTTCTGTAAACCAATATCAATTGAATCACAATGGGGTCACTTGATAAACGAGTAGGGGAATTTTCGCGAATCAGAATATTTTACGCCGATACACTGCATGTACACTGTTTTTGCGCACCTCGATCAGGGTGTTTTTTTTTGTTTTGTTTTTTTTTTTAAACATTTAGATCTGCACTAGTCAGTAATTCACTTCCAAGATGAATCAAGTCCTAACTTCTTCGGATGTGTGTATTTTCTAAAAAAAAAATTAAAAAAAAAAAAAAAAAAAAAAAAAAAAAGTACAGTGACTTAAAAATACTGGAATGATAACAAAATCGTCGCTTTTGTTCTGAGCAGCAATCCATTGCAAAGCTTTTGCTCAGCCTGATCCTATGATTAGTGATTTGAACAAATTTTAATAAATTAATGTACATTGCATAAATTTATAAATCATTGTGAACTTGCCAGTCTTCCGAGAGATTTTTAAATATATTTCTCTGTAAAACTTTGACACCCTATGCACCCTTTCATAACCCTTGAAGTCATATTTTGAACAAATTGAATATTAAGATAATAAGTATGTTGACATAAGGTTATTTTGTCTTTCCATGTGCTCGTTTGTTCTTTAATATCTATCTGAATAAGATGGATTCAATTGAAACCGAAAATATAATAGATTGATCTGTTAAGAAGTTTTCAATAAAATATCAGTTTAAAAACTGCTTAATATGCCAGCGGATTTCGGTTTTAATTTTAGTAATCTAATGTAAGGGTATACATATTCCCTATGAGAAAGCGTGCAAATTTATATGTCAGAAAGTAGTAATTTCCACTTGTCAACCATATTTAAGGTCTGATACTATAACGAGCAAACCACATGTCCACCGTACCCGATGTTTATTCCTGCTAGAAAAAAATTTATTTATTATCTTGCATTTTCCTTCCTTTCTTTAACTCAAATGATATGGAAAGAGACTAGAAGGTGGAAATTAGGCCTCTAATAGCTACCTTTTTTCCCTTTTTCTTTTTCTTCTTCTTCTTTTTTTTTAATTCTGAGCACATAAAATAAGAACCCCCCCCCTCCAAAAGAGAGAGAGATTGAAAAGGCCTCCAATTGTTCTCTGAAGAATTAATTCAGTTCCTCAGAAGCTTCTGACATTAATAATTGCCTTTACCAATGGGAATATCAAAGATTAGCGTTAATTTGGGCTTTGGTTGAGTTCTGCCTGAACAGCTAAATCTAGACCGGAGAAAATATGCAGATTTTATTGGGATGCTAAACATGAAAAATTGAAATTAATTTCACCCAAGGATGTTGTGCACTGGCGGATTTAAGGGGGGCGTGGGGGGCGCACGCCCCCCCCCCCCCTAAAATTTTCAAAGTATGACATGACTAATATTAATAATGCCATACTTTGGTTTTATAATTAATGGTCAATTAAAAAATGGTAATTTTATTTGATGACCTAGTATCGGTTTTCTTAAAAATCAAGTCTGAAAACCTTGCATTCCCTAGGCTATGAATGTTATCTCATAATTATTCAAACCGGAAAACGTCTCCCGATTTCGTTTGAAGGGTAGACTGCACTTATCAATTTCATGATGCAAGGAAAAATACTGCAATATTTAAAGGCTGGTCGAAGGTAAATAAATGAATTTTAAAATCAGACGGTCTACGTTACTAACCCGTCCACTGATTGATGTATTTATTTATCAAATGGTGTAACTATGCAGTAATTTACTTACATAGACACTAGACTTTTTTCATTACACAAATCTCATAATCTTTCCATGCATATAAATGGAATTTAACGTCAGGATAGGTTAGGATGGTGTAACTTCGACCACCTGGTTAATTTCGACCGTTCATAAATACCTTAAAATAATTTGTTTATAACCCATTATAGTGCACACACATCTATTTTATGCAGAAAGAAAATGCATTTTTCATATACAAATCAATGTCGATAATAATAGGCGAAAATTATTTCTTCACTGGAAAATTACATCCAAGAAGAAACTTTATCGCCCGAAAAATTACGGACGAGTATTTTTAAACCATTGCGGGGAATTATCAGTTTATCACCTCTGAAAATATCTTGTATATATAGACAGACACAGTGGAATTCCTGGCGTGAAATTTATCAACTATGTTTAATTTTGCAACTTAAATTCATACCTTTTTAATGTATAGTATTTAGTTTTTACAAATAAAATGCAAATCAGCTGAACAGAAATCGGCCGAAGTTACCCATGCATGAATACGGCGTCAGCGGGTAACTCAGTTCGACCAATGAAAATGACGCAATGCTATTTGTTACCAGAAAAGAATCATGACCACTGTCCGTATAAAAAAATTATTAGGATAAGTATTATGTATAAGAATACTCCGTAGAAACTAGTTCTATAACAGTAAAAAAATCATCTGCTCTGTTTACATGCGTTTAGATGCCTGCGCATATATATATACATTTGTAGCATACATTGACAAATCGGTAAATCAGTCTCTAGGCACCTGGTGCACTTAATGTCTTCAAATTAGGTACATTTTGAAAATTACTTTTTTTGTCAGCATTTTTTCACAATCTTTTATGTTTAACAACAGAATAATTTAAAATAATATATATATATATTTTTTTTAATTAGAGATGACGCGAATAATTTCGTTTATATTTGCACATCGATCGAAAATACCCCATGTGCGGTCGAAGTTACCCAACACACTTATCTTGTTTTTTTTTGGTTTGTGTGTGTATTTTTCTTTTAAAAAGTGAAATATCATAGTGTACATAACTAATCAATACCACTATTTTTGTGCCTGGTTTTACTCTTAAAATTCACGAAAACCCAGGAGCTTCGCCCCCTGAGCTCCCACCAGGGCTTCGCCCTGGACCCCCTGGGGGCCCTAAGGCGGCCCCAGACCCCCTGCCTGAACAAAGTTATCCATGCCCCCCCCCCCCCCTAATCACAAATCCTGTATCCACCCATGTTGTGCCTGTGCTAAGTGGTAAGTTTGGTTGAAATTGTTGACTAAACCTCTGTCGACCAAATAGACGGTAATTTTTAAAAGACTTAAATTAAGTGGACTCTAAGGTTTTAGAAGTCATAAAGGAGAAAAAGCGATGTACGACGGATCAAATTCGATGAGAAAACACACCTGAGACATTGTGAGCTAAACAACACAGCAATCTGATGATTACCACCAGCTGGTTTTTCGCGTAAGAAATGTATTTCCACAGTTCGGGAAAAACAAAGCTATCCGCGTCAAATTAATATTTTATCGAGACTCTTGCTGTTCCGATGGCAACAAGTGAAAAACATGGTCATGGAGAAGAAAAGGCAAAAGAAGTTTTTGTCTGTCAGAATTGCAAATTCTCAGCTCATTACGACTACTTTGGAAGAAAACCGCCTTTTTCCAAGTCTTTTGTGTAAGTACATGTATGTGTTGTCAGGGAAGCGTTTAGCATATTATGTAATGTACATGTAACTCTAGGACTATATTATATGTACATCGGCAGATCTTTTGAGACACATTCGACTTCTCTGAAATATATATATATATTTTTTGAAAAACTTCAAGACTTTGTAGATCGCAAATAACATGAAAAATAATTGCCTCACATTATAATAACAATGATCTATAAATTGTTTCATCACAGCTAGTACATTCAGAAAACGGAAAGGAAAATCAGTCTTTATTTACACAGGTATGTTAAGGCAGTTCTTATGTAATTATTGTGAAAAATTACAATTCTCATACTAATAAAGCAAAAGTAGAACGGTTTTATTGTGAAAAGGTTGGGGAGGCTCAAGTCATTGACTAATAGTTTTGCAAAAAATACAAACAATTTTCAGAGGTTGCCTTTGGAGTGACATGTGTTCTCTCACAAACACAATATGGTGGAATCAATTTGTAAATAAAATATTATAAAACGCATATATTTCTACTTTCACTTCTCTACACATTAAATTATGAACTTAGCCAATAGGAAACATTGTTAGTATAGCTATACTAAAAGCAAAACCAGATTGCATTTTGACCCTCAAAAATTCTGTTTGACCCCCAAAAATTCATTTCAAAGGGTCATAATGACCCTTGGTTTTCAAAGTTATATTAATAAGTTTTCAAAGATATATCAGTATAAAGACAGCAATATGAAATTTTATGATGGAAAAAAAATGTATTCTTTTACATGTACCTGTAACCTTTCAGTATTTAATAATTAACATTCAGTGTATTATATACAGTCTTTTTTATATGACTTACCAAATCTCCAGATGCTATTTTGAACATCTTAACTAATAATTGTTTGCATTATTATTTAATATCAAATTTCATTTACTGTTATATTTATCCTACCAATAATTATAGAGTATTTTGAAATATTTAATGAAGAAAAATAATTTTCAAATTTGATATTTTTAAAGTTTAAAAAAAAAATTTTTTTTTGTCCTTTTTTAGTTACACCATAATTTAAAGATGTGGATCTAATAATTGTTCAGTATTCTCAATTTAGCAAGTGCCTTGGACACTTATTAGAGTGAATACAATATTGAGATAAAATTCTTCTGTGTCTCATTCAAAATAGTTATGTTATACAATTATTAACAAACCACCTTCCTACAATGGGTGAAGGTGTTATACTTTTGCATTTTGCTGCCAGTAATGATAAAAACTGAGGACTAGACAGCTAGTTCTCATCAATCAATCCAAAAAAAAAAACCCTACACACATCTAAGACTAAAGTACAGTATAACTTGTTTAGTATGAACATGGATATAGTGAATTTACAGATAGAGCAAAGTTTTTTGCAATCTCCAGCAAAATCCTTAACAATTCCTTGTAAAATTTTACGGATATAATGAACTCGGATATATAGCTAACTTTTTGTGTCCCCTAGAAGTTAAAAATAAAGAAATTCACACCTTTTATAGCAAATTTTTAAAGATCTAAATTTTAAAAATATTGAACTGACATTAATTTTTTAAGTATTTATATTTGAAATTCAATTCATCTGAAAACTTTTGAACTTTAAGGTAAATTTTCTAATTTATACTCCCCTAAACAGATTTGGTAGTCATACTTCAATGAAAAAAAACTATATTGCGAATTCGCTATGTGTACTTTAAGGAATTCATTGTACAGATATAACAAGTTACAGATATAGCGAAGTATATTCGCAGGTCCCAAGAACTTTGCTATAACCAAGTTTTACTGTAGTCACATTTGTTTTAAAGCATCCAGTTATGTCTAGCCTTTTCATGATTTTGTGAGCGTATTCTCCTAAAATCTTTTTTTTTCTTGATAAGAATGCAGATGGATTGCTGTATATGCTGTATATTGTATGGCAACAAACCAAGGAAAATAACATTAAGAAAATTTGAACATATAGTAGTAATGAAGATTTGCATAATTTCCTGAACAGTTATAAAATTTTGTATGTAGATAGCTAAGTGCATAAATGTTTTAAAATATGCATTATTTTTTTTAATATTGGCATCATAAAATGGATTATTGTGACATGAAATTGATCTGCAAGTCTTTGCCTATTCAGGGCATTTGAATGAACCTTGTTGTACTAGTGTGATTATTAATAACAGCAAATCATAAATAAAATCAATAGATTATATTGAAATGTGAATATTAAAAAGAATTTACCTACATGATTTATTAATGTAGATAAATCTACATAATTTATATTTAGACTGATAGAAGAAGCATTTGTGGTACAGTGTATACATCTTATATTTAGATTGATGGAGGGAGCATTTGTAGTATACATTTTATATGTAGATTGATGGAGAAAGCATTTGTGGTATACATATTATATGTAGGTTGATGGAGAAAGCATTTGTGGTATACATTTTATATGTAGATTGATGGAGGAAGCATTTTTGGTATACATTTTATATGTAGATTGATGGAGAAAGCATTTGTGGTATACATTTTATATGTAGATTGATGGAGAAAGCATTTGTGGTATATGTTTATATGTAGATTGATGGAGGAGGCATTTGTGGTATATGTTAATATATGTAGATTTATGGTATATATAGATTGATGGAGAAAGCATTTGTGGTATACATTTTATATGTAGATTGATGGAGAAAGCATTTGTGGTATACATTTTATATGTAGATTGATGGAGGAGGCATTTGTGGTATATGTTTATGGAAGGGAATTACCGCCAAAAGTCTATTTATCTTGCTTTTATTCTTATTCTGCCTACTTCTTTATTCTTTGTTATTATTGTAACTATATGTCACTTTATTGTTTTCATATTCGTCTTTGTTACATTTCACTTTGAACTTTTTTCATTCTTCATTTTGTCCTTACATCTATGTTGCTTTATTCTTGTAAATACGTTCTTCAAATTGATACAGTTTCTTTAATAAATAATTATGATTATCTCTATTACAAATGTAAATTCAGTCATGCAAACCATGAAGCACATTCAACGAAGACGAATACAAGTAGTGTGAATTTAATGCTGCATTATAACGCTAGGTGGCAGGGTGTTCGCGGCGAGTGTTGGTAAAATTAGGTACGCAAACCCGGGCCGGAGTTATTCGAGATTTTTCAATTTTCTGCCTTAATACTTTATCAATCGAACCCAAATTTTCAAATGGTGTATGTTATAGGTTCAGGCATGTACCCGGTGTCGTTCCCCCTGACGGCTGGCTAGATGGTAAGACTTCCCCCGGAGGACTAGCTATATAGTGAGACTTCTCCAGGGGAAGTCTCACTATATAGTCAGTCTTCACCCTTCATAGCGAAACTTTCCCCTTTAATTTAGAATATTTTTTTTTATTGTAAAACAATGTTTATATAATAACGTTTTCAGTGTTTGGATGAAAGTTCTCCGTCCTATATGAATGAATAAATAAATAAATATATGAATAAATGATTAAAACATTTTAATAGTGATTTTTATAATTAAAACATTAATTTAACCATGCAGGTAAACATAGGTAAACTGCACGTTTCTACGGGCAATGACCTCTTTACTGTTAAATTAATTGTGTCTAAATTTTCTTTTGATAAGAATCGTCTCGGAACAATACAATAATCTGCTGTGCACGATAAATTTTTAATGCGCACTTTAATATTGATTCATTTGAAACTATATATATATATATATATATATATATATATATATATATATATATATATATATATATATATATATATATATAAGATCATTACCTAAATATGCAATATATACATTGTCGATGTAAATAAAATCCAAACCAAACACGGAAGGGGAAGTCTAACTGTGGTCGTTTAGGGCGGAAGGCTCACTACATAGTCATTGCCCCCCCCCCCCTCCCGGAGGGGAAGTCTCACTATATAGCCAGGCTTCCGGGGGAAGACTCACTATGGAGGAAGTCTCACTATATGACACCGGTAGCGGGGGGGGGGGGGGGGGGGGGCTGGCCACCAAACATTTTTCTAGTCATAACTTTTTACTACAGAAATTGTTCATTGAAAGTCTGGTTGCCCCCCCCCCCCAACTTTTTGTCGCAGTATAGTCAAATAAGGGTCATGTACGTAGTGATGTATGAGTAAAATTTGGTACTGAAAGAAGTTGGACCCCCTTCCCCCCAAATAGGATTTTCGAGTTTGAAGAATTTTCCTCTTTTTTTTCCTTGTTTGTTTGTTTTTTGTATGTTTGTTGTTTGTCTCTTTTTTTGTGTTTGTTTTGTTTTGTTTTTGTTTTTGTTTTGTTTTTTTTTTGTTTGCTTGTCAAGTTTTAGGTAAGACTTTTTTTTCTCTGGGTGCCCCTTTCAAAAACAATGCTACGTTTCTAAGTTTTATCTGTTTTCGCTGTAAAAATTGCCAATATTTATATTCATGTATTTATATTTTGAAAATCTCAATATTTCAGATTATTAGGTCACCTGAGTCACTCAGGTGACCTATTGCTATCCGTTCTCGTCCGTCGGCGTGCGTCGTGCGTTAACATTTGAACATTTTCAGCTTCTTCTCTGAAACCTCTCAACCAATTTCAACCAAATTTGGCATATAACATCTATGGGTGAAGGGGGACAAAATTTGTGAATTTCATGGTCCCTGCCCCCCTGGGGCCTGAGGGGTGGGGCAAAAACCACTAAAATTAATGCAATCTTTAAAAATCTTCTTCTTTACTCCTGGACATCAAGCAGTCAAACTGTTAGCATGATTGTAATAAGCATTGAGCCCTCTACCAAAATTGTGAAATTCATGGCCCCAGGGTAAGGGGTTCTGGGGCTAGGGTGGGGCTATATAGATCATATAGTAAAAGTGCATTATTTCTTCAAAAATCTTCTTCTCTGCTCCTGGGTATAAAATAAACTAACTAAGTACACAGTTATGATAAGCAAGAATGCCCCTTCCAAAATTGTGAATTTCATGGCCCCTTGGTCAGGGGTTTTGGTGAAAGGGGGG